AACCTAGAAATAAACCCTCATATATATATGGTCAATGGTTTTCAGAAAAGATATCAAGTCCATAAGACAGTGTTTCAACACACAATGCAGAAATAGCCACATGCAAAAAAATGAAGTTGAACCCTTATCTTCCATTTAAACAAAAATAAACTCTACATGATCAAACCTAAACATAAGAGCTGAAACTATAAAATTCTTAGAAAAAAACGTAGGTGACACTCTTCATGAGTTTATATTTGGCAATGATTTCTTGCCTGTGACACCAAAAGCACAGGGAACAAAGAACAAAATATGTAAATCAGAGGAGGAGGCAGCTGTGGCACCAATGAATCCTGTGTTCTTTTCTATTTCTTAGCTTCTCCTCAGAAAGACAATGTGTGGTTCATCTTTGCAGAGTGTGAGCTGGTGAACCCACCACTTAACACTATTTGTAACTACAGGAGCTTCTCAGGAGGCCACATACTGTCACTGGGCAGGTCCTTTAGTGACAAGAACAACAAATGGTTTGGGTTTTAAGTCTGGAGAAGATTAAGCGCAGGGATGCTGAACTACTGACACAAAAGGAGGAAGGAATATGAATGAATCTTGGAGGAAGAAGTGGAGGAAATAGAGAAGGAAGAGAGAAGAGGCATCAGAGTGCTGAAATGAGCAGGAAATTGCAAACACTCTGCCATCTGTGCATCTGTAATTCTCATATTTACATTTGGGGCCCAGTGTTTTCCCCTGAACTCTGAAGTTCTATGTCCAATTGTCCACTCAAATTTTTCTTTGTATGGATATCAGAATCTCACAGTTCACATATACAAAACTGAATTCCTGAATTGCCCCTCAGCCCTCTATATCTCAGCTGAGCCACCTTTATTTCTCCAGGTGCTCATGTCCAGAACACCTGGAGTCTTGCTCTCCCACCCAAATCCTATGCATCAGGAAAGCCTGTTGCTGCCCCTTCAGCCTTCATCCAAAATCTACGTCCTTCCCCTGTCTCTACCGCTGTCCTAGTGCAAGGCACTTTTCATAGTTTGCAGCAATGCAGTAGCCTCTTAATGCAGGAGTTGCTTCTCCTGTGTTCTGTGGTAGTCTGTTGTCAACTGAATGCTAGAATAATTTCAAACTCATGTCAGCTCATGTCAAATCTTTCTTGAAGACCTTGTAATGGCAACCTTTTCACTCAGAGCAAAAGCTTCAATTCCTGACCAGAGAAGGAAGATTCTAGTCTCAGGACATTTGCACATGCTTCTCACTGTCAGGAAGGCTCATCCCCCAGGAAACCACATGGCTCACTCCCAACCTTTTTTAATCTTTGCTCAAACTTCCCTTCTCAGTGATGCTCACTCAACTACTCTGTTCAAAATACATCCCACTTTACAGATCCCCCAGTTTTCTTACCCAGCGATACTTCAATCTCCTTAACACTCATCACTTTCCAATATACTATATTATTTACTTATTTATTATGTCTATTGTTTACTCTCATTTTCCCCAAAGGACATGGGCTCCATGAGGGCAGCTACTTTGTCTCTTTTATTCACCAACACACCCCAAGTTCATATAACAACAGTTCCTGGCACATAGTAGGTATTCAATAAGTATTTGTATGATGTGTGAATTGCCCAGTGCGACACCTCCCTGAGATCCTGAAGCCTATTTTAAATGGGTAAATCTGTGGAATTATGTGAGAAACTGAGTTTCTCACCGGATGAAAACAAGCATCTTGTGTAGACGCAGGAAGCAGAAGAGCCCAGGAGCAGAAAACCACACACACTCTCCCCACACCCACCTTCCTCATATTCATTGGCAGAAGCAGCAGAAATCACATGGGTTAGAAATGGGGTAATTGTTCAACCCCTGAGCTGTAGGATCAGAGTCCATGAGTTCAAATCCTACCTCTACCATTTAGCATGGAGTGACCCTGAAGCTCTCTGTGCTTCTGTGTTCTTTCCTGTAGGTGGGAGTGACAAGAGGATCTACCTTGGGTACAGTGGTCAAATGAGATAACAGCCCTGAGCATTTCCAATCGTGTCTGCACAAGGCGAGTGTCAAGAAATTGAAAAGTGTAATGAGTAATATAACTCATTATACTTTTTGGAGCCTTGAGGTTTTAACTGACATTAGATGATATAGATATGGATATAGATATCAACATGAATATTGATGTAACTACAGATGTAGATCATACATGCAGCAGTCCCTGTATCTTTTATCTCCTTCTTTCCTCCTCATCCCTATCCCCCATGAAAGAGGGAATCCAAGATACTAATGAAAAGAATTCTACTCAATTTACCAAGAGAGAAGGTTGCAGTTTAAGAGTCTGAGGAAAGGTAGGGGTAAATTTACACAAGTAAATTAAGGAGGGAGGGTGGCTGAGAAACAGGGACAACTAAACAGATGTCCTTGTGCATTTCATGTGGCTGAAAAATGATTTGAAGAGAACAATAGGAATGCATTTTCAAATATCCCGTGTGTGTGTGTGTATGTGTGTGTGTGTGCGCGTGCACTTTCTCAAACTCACTACACTCATCCATACACACACATGTATTGACAAATATGTATAAAGCTGTATCCTAGCATGCTAATATACAAGCTGTTTTAAGGATTAAATGGGATTGTAACATATTAAATGCTTAGTAATAACAGTGATACATAGGAACCATCCAAAGAATCATTAACAAAAAGTCCAGAAGTGCACACAGCACAATTTGAACTCTGGTGTCTGTGAGTAACCTGATGGGTGGTAACAATTCTTTTACTTGCTTATCTATGTTAACTAATTTTCTACACTAAGTCTCCACTGAGCAGTCGAGTAGTATAACATAGCTAAAAAATGAACTTTGGAAGCTAGTCAGCCTGGGCTTGAATTGTGGCTGAACCACTGCCTTACATAGGTGACATTGGACAAGTTACTCTCAGTGTCTCAGTTTCCTCATCTGTAAATTGGGGATAAGAGACATAAGTATCACACAGGGATGTTGTGGGGATTAGATGAGTCAGTCCACACAACATTGTCGCTGTTGTGGTTTGAAGCATCATCTGTTTTGATGCTTCTGGTAACAGGTGCAGGTCATGGCGACAATGCTCACATCTCCTATTTCATGCTCTCAGATAATCCCCAGTCCTTGGCCTTCTGTGGCAGCCCTGAGTGACACACCCCTGTTTTCCTGGAGGCTCTAAAATTCCAGGACAAGGAGGGGGTCCAGGGGCAGGGGGAGGGAATTCTAAGCCAAGGAGTGCTCACCTGTGAGTCCCAGCAGTAGAGTCAGCAGCAGGCAAGGAGGAGGGTGGGCCCAGGAGGCAGGGATGGTCATCCTGGAGGCCTGAGCAGGCAGCTCTGTCCACATGTGGGCTGGAGAACCCAGACTCTCTGCTCTGTGAGAGGAGTGAAGCCCTGCCTCCTGTGACATAAGAGGAAGGGCTTAGGATGGCTGAAATGGCTGTGAGACAGTTGCCTGATTCTAATTCTAGACAGTTCCTGCTTCTAGATTGTGAAATAGAACCAGCAGTGAAGGCAGCTGCATTGTGAGGAGTTACTCATCTTAATGGTTTCAGAGAGACTTGAACAGGCCCACAGGAAATGGTGCTTCCTCTCTGCCTGGGGCCGCTGCTCTCTACTGGGCCCCTCACCCCATCTGAGGTCTTCATGGTGACGCCCCATTTGGGAGCCCAGGCCAAGAAGGAGCCGTGGTGTGGGCTGTTTCCCAGACTCCCAAGTCAGGACCCTTGACGTGTGTGGCTTGTGGCCTCAATTGCACCAGCCTCACCAAGAGCTCCTCAGGCGGAGGAAGGAAGAGTGTTCACCTGGGCTCAGTGTTGGGGGGAATCAGGTTCCCCTTGAAATGACTTCTTATTTTAATTCTTTAGTGGTGGACCTGGTAATATTTAGCCCAAATGCAAGTGCAATGTGGACCTTAGAACTTTAATCGTCTGCATCCAACAAAAGGAATCCTACCCTGACTTCTTTCAGGAGAGGAAGTGAGTGAGATGACCCAGTAATTACACTCTCAGACATTTATCTCAGAGAAATAAAACTCATGTCCACACAAAAACCTGTGCATGAATATATAGCAGTTCTCTCTGGAATAGCAGAGCACTGGACAACCATAATATCCAATAATAAGTGAATGTTAAGCTGTGGAGCATCTGTGTAAGGAAGTACTGAACAACAAAATGGAATGAATTATTTATTGTGTAACAGCTTGTAGGTTTCTCGATTGCATTATGTGGAAAATGTCAAAATGTCACGTACTGTATTATTCCACATATATTGCATTCTCAATATTTTAAAAAAGGAGAGAAAATTGACTTTTGCAAGGCCTTTATAACAGTACGGTGGAGATGGGGTCACTATAAAGGGCTGGCACAGGGGGACCTTTTTGATGGTCATTTTGGGGGAAGAAACCTAGAGGCTTTTCTTATGTCAACTATTGGAGGCTTCCAATTCTTGTCAATAAGCATCTAATAATTTTACAGGCCAAAATGGTTTAGAGATTAAAACAATGGTTAGACTTTCAGTTTTTATTTTGGCAACTTTAAAATTTATTTTCACAAACTAAAAAGAAGCAGTGATCATCCACTCTTACTATTATTTTATAACAATAAAAAGCCCTAATGTAAAAAAATTATAATAATGTAAAATCCTTTAAATGAGATGGTTTGGCTTTTTTGCCCTGTTTTATTGAGATATAATTGACACGTAACATTGCATCAGTTTAAGTGTACAGATCCGATAAGTCTGTACATTGCAAAATGACTACCACAATGAACCTGGTGAACATTCATCACCTTGCATTGTACAAATGTTTTTCTTGTGATGAGAACTGTTACGATTTACTCTTTTAACAAATTTCAAATGTGCAACACAGCATTGTGAACTATAGTCACCATGGAGTAGATTCCATCCCTAGAACTTATTTATGGAGTCACAGGAAGTTTGTACATTTGACCACCTTCACTTATATCCTCACCCCCACCCTCTGCCTCTGGCAACCACCAATCTACGCTCTGTATCTATGAGATTTTTTTTTTTTTAGTTTTTATTATATTCAACAAATGCGATCACACAGTTCTAGTGTGACTTATCACACTTAGCAAAACTCCCTCCACTGTTAAGAACCTTCTCACATATTATTTTCTAATCTTTCTAGTAATGCTGGGAGGGTGGCGTCATCATCCTCATCTTACAGAGGAGGACACACAGGTCACCAAAGGTGAACTCTAAGTAAGTGGGAGGGTCAACATGTAATTCCAGGCCTGAGTTCAAGGTCCACTTTCTTTGCATGTGATTCCCACCAATCTAGGCACAGAAACAAAACTATTGATGGGTCTCCTCTTCACCTTAACAATTCCTAGCTGGCCTGAAGTCCTCACAGACCCTAAACAGGAGCTGTGATTATCACCACTTCCCACACGAGGAACCTGAGGACTCAAGGTAACTGAGACTTGCCGAGACCACACAGTGATGGGACAGCAGCCCCATTGCTCACTGTATCCTGATACCGTCCTGCAAAGGTTGGTGTGATTATCCACTTTCTGCAGGTGAGAAAACTGAGGCCCAGCAATGGGAACTGAGTCACAGCCTTGAAATAACAGCTTATCTGTGGGGCTTCTTTGTGCTGGGTGGTTCACACAGAGGGCCTCAAATCCTTTCAGCTCTCCTTAAAAGGAGTCCATCATTATCACCATTTGACAGATAAGAAAACCGAGGCTGAGAGAAATGAAGGAACTGTCTCCTCAATCCCACTGTGCCCCAGGGTTATTTTCTGGGGTCCCACCAACCTTTTATGTCTATCAACAGACCACGTGCTCCACCTTCATGGGCTTGACAGTGACGACCATCTTCCCCTTTTCTCTCTGAGATTTTTGCCTTTAAGCAATTAGAGGCAGGATCACCTCCGAGTGCCCAGGCCTGGGGACCTTGTAGCAATAAGCAGAAGTCATAGGCTCCTGACAGCTGAGTCTAGAATATGAACTCTGAGTTCTAGAATATGACATCCTGAAAGGTCCTATAACATGGATAAGTCTTGAAAGCATTATACTAAATGAAAACTGCCAGATAGAAATGGACAAATACGAGCTCACATATATGAAGCACCTAGAAAAAGCAAATTCATAGATACAAAAAGTAGAATAAAAGTTAGTAGGTGCTGGGTTTGGGGTGGGGGGAAGAATGGGGACTTCTTTTTTAAAGGACATAGAGTTCCTGCCTAGGATGTTGACGAAGTTCCAGTAATGTTCAGGGATGATAGTTTCACAACATTATGAGCATACTTAAAGCCGCTGAATTTTATCCTTAAACGTGGTTAAAGTAGTACATTTTATGTTATGAATATTTTACCACAAAAACATATATATTCTAAAATAAGTGTGTCACTCCATATAGAGCCTTTGAATTGGAATAAATGACTAAAAGAAAAAGATAAATCTTGTGCCTGTAGATGGGAGAATCTGCACTGGAATGGGGACATAGAACTAAGGGAACATGGAAGCAAGGAAATAGCAGATGTGAAACTTGGGTTTCGAAAAGAATTGTGGGTGATTCACCACGTTGGGACAATGAGTTATGAGTTGAATGGACATAAGTTTACCTTTGGGCCAAATATGTAACTTTAGGTGCAAAATTTTGCAGTTCTATTTTACTTCTTCAGTGACTAGCCAGTTTCTGGAGACACAGAGAGATACAAAAACATTCCTTCTTATTTGAAGTGTCCTAAAAAACAGGCAATAGTTCTGGGGGCAGGGATATAATTCAGATGAGGGGGCAGGTGTGGGACCTCAAATCCTGTGCTCTTCTCTGTTTCTTAGCTTCTCTGGAGGGAGACAATGTGTGGGTCACCTTGGCAGAGTGTGAGCCAGTGACACCTACCCATTTAGCACCATCTGTAACCAACACGCCTCCTAAGGAGGCCACATGCTGTCCCAGGTGCAGGTCCTTTGGTGCCAAGGACATCAGGTGGTTTGCTTTATAAACTGGAGAAGAAGATTGGAAGAGGGGATGCTGAGCTGCTAAGACAAAACTGTGAAGACATGTGAATGAATCTTGGAGAGAGAAATGGAAGGAATAGAGCAGGGAGGAGAAAGGAGGGATCCGAGGGCTGAGATGAGCAGGGAACTGCAAACACTCTGCCACCTGTGCATCTGTAATTCTCATATTTACATCTGGAGCTCAGTGCTTTTCCCTGAACCCCGAATTTGCATGTCCAACTGTTCACTCACATTTTTCCATGGAGAAAATTAGTATCTCACAATTCACACGTACAAAACTGAATTCCTGAATTGCCCCACAGCCCTCTATATCTCAGCTGAGCCACCTTTATTCCTCAGGTGCTCAGGTCCCAAACACCTGGAGTCTTGCTCTCCTACCCCAATCCTATGCATCTGGAAAGTCTGTTGCACCCCTTCAGCCTGCATGCAAAATCTACATCCTTTTCCTGTCTGTACTGCTGTCCTGGTGCAAGGCAGCTTTCATTGTTTGCATGAATGCAGTGGCCTCTTAGTGCAGCAGTTGCTTCTCTCTATGTCCTGTGGTGGTCCGTTCTCAACCGAATGCTAGAACAATTTAAAATTCATGTCAGCTCATGTCAAATCATTCTTCAAAACCTTGCAATGGCAGCCTTTCACTCAGAGCAAAAGCTTATATCCCTTAACACAGCAGAATGATGCTAGCTAGCCTCAGGACCTTTGCATATGCTGCTCACGGTCAGGAAATCTCTTCCCTCAGGTAACCAGATGGCTCACTCCCAACCTTCTTTTACTCTTTGCTCAAAAATCACTTCTCAGTGATGCCCACCCAGATGACTATGTTCAAAATACATCCCACGTTACAGATTCCCCCAATTTTCTTACCCAGCAATACTTTTTTTTATTAACACATCACTTTCCAATATACTATATTTACTCATTTATTATGTTTGTTGTTTACTGTCACTTTCTCTGTAGGACATGGGCCCATGAGGGCAGCTACTTTGTCTCTTTTATTCACCAATGCACCCCACACTCCTATAACAATTCCAGGCACATAGTAGGTATCCAGTATGTATTTGTATGTTGTGAGACAACTCCCTGGGGCCCTGAAGTCAATCTGAAGTGGGCAAAATTATGGAAATTACCTCAGAAACTGAGTTTCTCATAGAATGACTTAGTGAGAAGTGAAAGCATCCTGTGCATATTCAGGAAGCAGGAGAGCCCAGGAGAAGAAAACCACAAACCCTCTTCCTCACACCCACCCTCCCCCACACACATTGACAGAAGGGGCAAAAATCTCATGGGATGCACATGGGGTCACAGGCATTTGAGGAGAGTAATGGTTAAACCCGTGAGCTCTAGAATCAGACTGCCTGCGTTTAAATCACAGCTCTACTGTTTACCATTGAGGTTTCTTGAACCTCTCTGTACCTCTGGTTTCTTATCTATAGGAAGGGTTGAGAAGAGGATGTACCTTGGATGTAATGGTCACATGAGATAACAGCCCTGGGCATTTCCAACAGTATGTGCACATGGTGAGTGGTCACAAATTGAAACGTTATTACTGAATAGATTTCCTGAAGCTTCAGCTGATATTAAATGATACA